GAAAGAGAGCGCCAAGCACTCGGAGGTGTGGTACAACAAGGTCGAGGACGGGGCCGCATGGTTCATGAGGAAATGGCACAGACAGGGGGCGGAAGCGTCCGCGAAGCGCCAGCGCGCGAGGGAAGCAGAAGCAGAGAGAACGGCCATCTCAGGACCGAAGAGAAAGAGAGTCAGGGAAGCGGCGGTGGGGGGGAAGAACCGGCGACCGGGCACTGCTGTAGAAGCGAGAAGGGCGGCCGAGGCAGCACTTGTGGCGAACTATGTGCCCGGCTGATGTTGTTGCGCCCTGTTCCATCCCTGCTGTATGCTATACTTCTTTGTGCATGTCCTTTGTATTGCCTTTGGCCTCTGTGCTGTGTTTCTTTTGTTCATGTCCTCCCTACCTACTCTGCTGCGTTGGGTACCTTGATCTCGCTTTTGCTGTTGCTTTTGTTTATTGTACATCTGGCTGTCTGCCCATCTGCCGCCTCTTTGTCCTGTTTGCTCCGTTACTCCCATGCCCTGGTGCGTAGTGCCTGGTGCTGGTACGTTACTCTTTGATTTTTTCTTTAGGCGGGTGTGGGAAGCGTCCTCCTTTATTATTGTTTTTGTTAAACTTTGATCGGTTTCCGAGGGCTCGTTTATCGAACGGTCGGTCCCTGTTCATAATTTTGTTTTTTTTTCCGAGTGGTTTGAACCCTACTTTTGTTTTGTTTCCCCGCGGCGTCGTATGTGCCGGGTTTTGAGACAACGTGCTCCCCATTTTTTGTGGACTATAGAGCTAATGTGAGAAACAACAACAACAACAACAACAACAAACATGGAGAGTTTTTTCTCTTTACATAAACCTGGTCTACGTTGGAAGCGACGCGCTGCAAAAGCTCGTTGTTAGTAAACTGATCGACTTCATTGTCGACATCGACTTAACCGTCGCGAGGGAAGGGATTGCTGTGCCCTTGTCGCGAAAACAAAAACTCAGGCAGGCACCGCAGGAGGTAGGTGGCGGGGACAAAAGAAGATGAAAACAAGAAATAAACCCGGCGTGGGTACCTCCTTTGTGACCCCGGACGGTGCGTCTAGCTAGTTGACCCCGCTTTAAGGACGCTCGCACTAAGGAAAATCCCCGCTTTAAGGAAACTTGTGTTGCTCAGCACCAGGGGGCCCGGCCGAATATACGATAATGGGGTACCCCCATTTTTCTGCCGGGTACCCCCCTTGTTTGGTGTCCTGCGGGCCTGCGGGCCGCTCTTTGCACGAACCACGCACCACTGTGAGTGCAGAAGTAGCGAGCGGTTTGCTGCTGCAGCTGCAACTGGGTGTTGGTATAGGATAGATTCCTCCCATCTACCGGCGGTCCATCTGATGCCGCCAAAAAAAAAGTCGTGAGTAACCTCGTTCCTCACCGAGGGCGAGGTTATCTCTCGCTTGGAGGACGTTCGACCCTACAGATAGCGCCCGCAGTTAAGAAACGTCAAAATCGGATCGAGCCTTAATCCCTTCTTGTGGGTCGAAGTACCGGCCCAAGTCGTCCATTTTCGTAAATGGCATTTCTTCTTCCTTTGGACTGTCGCGTCCTCCCGATTCTCTCATTCTTTAGATTACAACAAGTACTTCGTATTTTCTCTTTTCTGTTTTGTGGTCTCTGAGGACAATCCACATCATCAAGCCCTCAAGAGAGGTGGTGGAGAGTGCCATCAAACCCGTACAACAGCGGAGAGCATATGGTTGTCCGCGATGTGTGGCAGTACTACAGTACAGCACTCACTGTGAACAGCAGGGGCGCGGGGGGCGCTGGGGGGACTTTGCCCCTTGCAAAAAAAAATGCACTTGTGTTCAGCTTCGGAGGGGGGTGGGAGCACCGCAGATTTCTGTTGTCATGAGGGTATCGCACCATCATGTTTCTTATTGGGGTGTTTCTTTCGTTGTGGCCGGAATTGAGCTATGTTTCTCAGCCCTTTTTTCTTTTTTTTCGCACAAACTTGAGCCTTTTTTCTTGACAGAATTTTTCTTTAACTGTGCGGGCGCTATCTGTACTTGTACGCGAAGGGAAGGGGTGGCGAGTACCGTGAGACGCAGTACCTTCTTTCGAAGACCGTTCATTCGTTTCCTCAACAAACTCAACAGAGCCGTAGAGCCAAGCCGCGGGGGGAGATTCAGGGAATTCTTCGCGATATATATGTGGAAGGTAAAGCCATCCAGGTAGCTTTTGGCCTCCACCGGGACAGCGAGACAGCGAGATGTACTGGTGTTCCTCGGTGCGACGCTGGAGTAAGCTCGTTTTTTTGTTTTGTTTCAAAAGAATGAGATAAATACTTGGACTTTCCTCCTCCTTCCGCTGCCGGCTATGCAGTACATTAGTTGGCCAGGTAGAAACCGGTGTGCTGTATTTGTTTTCAACACGTCCCCGACTGCTGTAAATCTCATTTCACGTATTGTAAATATGTTCGACCTCAACAAACGATTGCCAGTGGTCTCGGCGATGCTGACTTTTCGTACCACCCCCTTCCTTAGCAAAAGACGCGTAGTTTGAGGTATAGCATGCCTCCATTGGCGCCGGGGATGGAGAGCTATCGTCCCATGAATTGTAAGGACGCAACCCCGCTTTTTAAGGACGCTATTTTTCGGGAAAAACCATGCGCGTCCTTAAAGCGGGGTCGACTGCTGTACGCTGAGAAGTGAAAGTGCACACACGCGGCAAACGTGAACAAATATTATTAGTGTGAACCGAAGAGGAGTAAGGAGGGGGCGCCAATTGGACAGAAAAAAAAACAAAAAAAAACGCGTGCGCACGTCGCTGGATTTCAACCGCTCTTTCGCGCTACTGGGTAGAATGCAAACAACATCTGATCGCTACTGCTTATTCTAAACTCTATCCTGCTGTACCTTCCTGTAAGTGGCGAGTATGTTGTTGTTGTTGTTGTTGTTGACTTCACATTAAACCGTATGCCAGTTGCTAAATGCCAAAATCTAGCAAAGACTCTCGGCCCGTGGTCACGAAAGTGCTGGAGCAATCTGAGGATCTAAAGAACACGCACACGTAGCAAGAAAAAGGTGTACAAGAGCCCGAAGAGGTACTACTACACCTATATATAATCCCTGCAGCACCGTACGCGTGCCCAAAACTGAACTACACGTCCGTCTCACCGTTCGACTACAGCAACATCACCCCCTACTTGTCCCACTCTGTACCAAAACGAATGATTGCCGACTACAGCATACTTGCTGTCTGAAGTGCTGTCTGTACAAAAACACCATGGTAGGCATGGAACAAGAAGCTGGCGGGGCACAAAGCTGCTGTCTGAAGTGCTGTCAGAATGTGTCTGCGGCCGTACAGTGAAAAAGAACAACCAACCAAAGCCATCATTGCAATGGACAATCACCCGAATCTCTCCCGATCGTCTGTGTTAGGCACGCAGTGAAAATATCGACAATAGCTAAGAATCGTTCCACATTGAAGGGGTCTTCCACGATCAGGCACATAACCAAGGCACCCGGGTTAGCCACGCCATCTCTGACGGGTCTCTCTACAAAACCAGTGACGACGTCATCACATAGAACCAACACCGAAAATCAGGAAAAAAACGAGAAAAATTGACAACACAGATCAGATATAAATGTTTGTCCGTGCGCCACGGGTCGATGTCGCCCGCATGCTCCGGTGCCGCTGCTCCGTTCGGCGCCGCTGTAGTCAGCCCGAGCATAACGCCACTCGACCTGCTCCGTCCGTACACGCTCTCGTTGCTGTCCTTCCCAGTCGGTTCCTCGCTTTCTCCCTCGTTGCACTCAAGGTTCTTGGTCTGAAAAATAAAAATTCTCGCGCCGAAGGGGTCAACCAGCCCAGTTCAGCTCGTCGCCACCTGCTCCCTCCTCCTTTGATGGCGAAGCCAGGTTACTGAGGCAATGCAGCGCCCTCTAGCCAACCTAGGGCCGTGTACATAGTTCCCGTCCACCTTCTGACGGTGTCTGCCTCCGCGCACAAAAAATGAGATGGGCATCGCTGCCTACGCCGACGGCCAGAGGCCCGCGCATCTACATTTTTTCGCCTGACCCCATCAGTGCCGACCCAACTACACCACCACGCGCATGCCTCGCGGCGGATATGCGCAGCAGCAAGAAGGTTTCGGTCATCCCTTGAGGGTGAGTCTAGCCCTGCTCGCCAGAAAGACCCCCCCCTTCACTACAACCCATGTCTAAGCAAAAGCTTGTCGAGGAGCGAGGGGAAGAAGGGTTTTGCATGCATAAATGGGGAGTACTACTGCAAGTGCATGCAACTTGGAGTGCATTGGGATGTGTCACGGACCGCGGTGTTCTGCATTGACTCACCTCCAAAAACTAGTCCCCAAGCAGCAAGGACAACCACCACCAAGCCGGCGAAGACCCTCTCCGGGAGAGGGCGTCCTCCTCGCCCTGATGTGCTAAGCTGGCGGCGTGCGCCTGCTGTTGTTGCATTCCACGGCCGTGGCCCTTGGATCGACATGGGATGCGCTGCTGTTGTTGTGCGGTTGAAGAGGACAGGGGCAGAGCTGCGGCCACCGCATCCGGTAACGCCCTGCGCGTGGGGTAGTCTTCGCTTCGCCGTGCAGAAGCCGTTGCTGACCGGGGTTACTCTCGCGACGGCAGCGACGTGAGCAGCATCTCGGTCGAGCAGCAGGGCGGTCAGGCCAGACGAACGACGATGATGTCGTTGTTGTACATTTATTAGTCGTCCGTGCGAGGCGACCTTGGTGCCGCATCTCCGTGCGGCTCCGCGCACTCGCTCGGCGGCAGGAGAGAACGCTGCACAACGCAACATGGCCTTCGACAGGATTGGGAGAGCGAATGTAACGCGGGCGGACCGAGGGACTGGGGTGACCAAGAGAGCCGGAGGGCAGCAGCACAGACCCGCGCAGAGAGCAGACAGCAATATCAGTGATAGCGGCATGTGGGGCCGTGGCGGCGACGCGAAATCATAGAGATACTGCTGTAGGGCCCTCCTGCTTTCGCAGCAACGGTCTTTCGAGTCACCCATCGTCTCTGTGTATAACCTACGACAGCAGTCCTCTCTCTTCCTCTCTGCTGCTGCGAACGGGCCGTCCCTGAGCCTCTATCCTTCGTCGGGAAGGGGGCCATTATAATACGGCAAAGCCACCGGGGATCGTCGCCATGGTCTCGAATCTTCGCAAGGTGCGGGCCGTGCCGCCGCTTGTCCCCTATGCTATTGTGCTTTTTATTGGAAAAAGTCGAAAAACTTGTGCAGACCCGGGGATAATGCAGATGACCCGACGTTGTCATCATGGTTGCTTGCTGTCCCTCCGACCTTCTTTGCTTCCTACTACTGCTGTAGCTCCCCCCCTCATAGGCGTGCAGCATCTCGCGTTTGAAATCAGGGCGAGGTGCGTTGGGGCTGTCCCGCAGGCAAGAAGAAGCACCCCCGAGTGAGCATGTCATGCTGTTGTGTCATGCTGTTATATGATCCCACGTACTACATACCACCATTTTCCGGACTTTTTCCGCCATATGATTCGGAAAAGAGGAGCCCTTCGAGGACCTCCGCCGCCCTTACACCGTTCCCCGCGTTTTCGCCGCCCGCGTGATGGTCGTCTCTGTCCACAGCTCGCCGACGCCGGTAGGGGCGGAGCAGTGGTCGTCCCCTACGGTGAGGTTGCAGAACTGCTGTCACTCCTCTTTGTCCAATAATTTGATTGCTGCAGAAAGCGGAATTTTTAAGAGTTCATCACAAGCGCGAAGTGTCTCCGCCTTCTCGTTGTTGCGGGGCCCAACGCAATAATGTATATGTCTGCTGTTGTAAGGACCTGTTCCGAGACGCGATGGCTACCTCCGTACTTCGTGCCAAGGCTTGCACCGAGGTCCACGAGATAGGTTCTCATGGAACGGATTGTGCGGCTCGTCGAGAAACCAGTAGCGATTGTTGTGTTGGTACGAAGCGGGTTAGCAGCCCAGCCCTCCGGCACTTTCGTCCCCTCTTCCCAAGAATAATATTTGTAGCGAGAGAGCAAGAGCGTGATTCCCGCCGCACTCGGAACACAATTTTCGGCGCCCAATGCCCGATGTGTGCACAGGCGGCCACGAACACTTTGTGGCCTACTACACCCACCGCCGTTTATGTAGTCGTGAAGGCATGCATGGCAGCGTAGGTGTGCCTTTCGTAGGTCGTTGGGGGTGAACAATATTCAGGTGTGTAGATGGACGGTCGTTTCGGGTGTGATCGATGTGAGACCGAAGAACGGCCATTGGAGTTTTCCGTGCACAGCAGTGCATGAGTAAAAGAAGGTGTGGGAGCGTGTAGCGGCTCCATCGGACGGCACTCGCCGGCCTTAATAGGCAACGAATCGCGAAAACCGTGTAAGTGTTCTGGATTAATAACCCTCGAAAACAAAAGGGACATGCGTCGCCAGACGCGCGTCGCCAGACGCGAATGAACTTTTTGACGTGTCGTAACTTTGCTACTTTTTGGGTAAGTAACGTGCAGCGGCCTGTACGTAGAAATACACAAAAGCGCGTAATGTAGACTACATGCGTACATTGTAGCAGAGTTGCCACACCCGCTGGACTGATTTTCAAGGCTCGATTCTACGCCACGACGAAGAGGGTGCCGAAGGCAAAACAACGCGTTTTTCGGCAAGCTCTCGACAAGTCGGTTGGTTCCATCACCGTCACACTGCCTCCTGCCGAGGGATCGAGCCTTGAAAATCCCTGTAAGGGGTGTGATACCATCTCTTGTGCAATACACGGTATCGTCACTGGTTCAAGATATAAGCCAGGTTTTCTCGGACGGCGCCGGGTTATGTGCGACGCAAAGGGGACACTGAAAAAACATTGATGATACATGCATATAACTAGGTGTGGCGCTCATGAGGTTCGTTGTTGTTTAGAGTAGCTCCGTGGGCAACAGTGCTGCGGACGGAAGGGAGCTAGCTGCCCTGAAACCATGTTCATCATGCTGCATAGAGTCGGCGGTTGTTTGGTCGGTCGGTGTTTCCGAGGAAAAGCCTTACGCTGGCTTTATACTTGTTATCTCCTCCCTTTCTCTTTCACGTGCCGTCTGTCGGAGACATTTGGAATGCATTGCTTTGCCTTTGCAGAGACGAGGTATTCAGCCGGTCGGTCTAGTGTTCAGCGTCGCAAGCCTACACTTTAGGACGTTGGGTTCTTCGCAGGGGAACCTCGCCCGCCCGCCCGCCCGCCCGCTCTCTGCCTCGAATGCCATTTACCACCTTTTAGGGCTGGCTCGCCTTCCGAGGCTCATGGGACGACTGTCCTCCATTCCCGCCATGTGTCTTGTGTGTCCCGCTTTACGTGGTCCAATGAAACCATGGGGGGAAACACGCGGTGTCTGGTGTGCGAACGCTGCTCGGAGCATTCCGGACAGAAAGTTGCTGTCTTTCGTGGTTCACTGGCGCAAGTAGGTTCGATGGACGGTGTTCGTTATTCTGCCTTCTCATGGAGTGTCTCTCCCATCGGGAGCACAGCGGCGCCAAGCAGTGTAGGTCCGATTTTTCCCAAACAAGTGTTCGTTGTACTGCACATGAGCGTTGTCTTCTCTCTCGAACGAGATTATCAAGTCCGCTTGACTTGTTGCTGGTTGGTTAGAGAGACGCACTCCCTAAGAACACAACGGGCCAATGCATTACGAACACTTTTGAACCTACTTGCGCCAGTGACCACGAACAGCAGTGCAACAAACGTTTGTGTCCCAGAGGCCAGCTCCGAGGCCCCCCCCCCCCCCCCTTCACACTTTTCTAGTAATGGAGTTTAGCATCGCCGGTGCGAAGTCGGAGCATGAAACATGCGGCCTGACTGACCTAACGTCATCACCTACCTGTTTGTGCTGCTCTCCACACACGGCGCTCGTTTGAACGACCAACTCGTGGCGCTCGCAACAGCCGTACATACGCTGGCGGTCCCAATTTTTCAACGACGCTGCTCCCTCCCCATGCGCACTCCCTCCACCAGAAAACAGCAGCAGCAGCAGCAGCAGCACGGGGGGCGCTTGCAAGGCGATGCCGTCCTTCTCGCAGCAGCAGCAGCAGCAGCAGCAGCACAGGCCACCATCCTACGCCTGCTCGGTAACGCCGCCCATGTCCCTCCCCTCCAGAGGCTGGGGGGACACCGGGTCGGAAGGTTCGCGCGGGAGCCGCTACCTGTCAGACTTCTCCTGCCTCTCCAGCAACACAAGCGCCTCCAACTGCAGCAGCAGTAGCAGCTGCGGCAGTCACGGCAGCGTTGCTGCTGCGCAGAAGGGCTGCTGCGGCGGCGGCGGCGGCGGCGGGGCTGGTGGCGTGCGGCAGCAGGAGCAGGAGCTAATGCCGTTCAAGCCTCCTGACGGTTTCAGCTCTGCCGAGGAGGAGACCTGGGGCTCGGAGGGGGAGGTGAGAGCGGCCCCAATCGACAGGGGGGTCGGGGCAGCAGAGTCTGTTCGCTGGCCTGGTGGCGGAGTCGGTTGTCGTCTCCGAGCTCAATTGTAGTGTTTCCCTTTTCTGTTATTGAGTGAGGCTGAAGGGTTTTTGCCCCTTCGTGTTGTTGCCGTTACCGCTTCCAATCTGTTTACCTTCGTGCTTCTTCGTTGTGTTGCCGGCGCCAATGTTTCTGTCGCCTCGGTAAAGTCCAATCGTGGATTCTGTATCGGATCGATCCGAACAAAGTTTGCGACAGCCCACTATGCACACCGCGTGCTTTGCTGTCATTGCTCTTGCACCTCCCCCCCTACCTCACCAGTGACCATCCCGCTTTTCCTTCCGTGTTTCCAGATCGAGGAAACCACCGTTGCGGGACGGCGACGTGCCTTGGTTACCGGCGGTCCCAGCAGACACCACCACAGCGCCAACACCAAGGCCATCATGGCCAATGGCGAGGAAGAGGAGGACGGGGAGTCCAGGGGTCTTCTGGTCGACGGAGGCGTTTCTAGAACGGTATCGGCGGCGGCGCCCATCGGCGGCGGCATTGGAGGCAGGAGGAGAAAGGCAGCGATGGGCGCGGGCAGGGCTAAACGGCGACCATCTCTTGGAGCCGACGGAGGCTGCTGCGAAGCGTCAGGCCGCTTTGGCGGCGGTGGCAGAAGCACCGCTCACTGCCGACAGCAGGGTGCAGGAAGGACGGCAGCAGGGCGGGAAAGCGGCAAGGAGGTGGGGGGGCTCGTTGGTTCGCCCGGGGGTGGTAGTGGTAGTAGTCGTCGCCCTGTCAAGGTGTCGAGGTCTCTTTTCATCGAGATCGAGAACAAGGCCTCCGAGCCGCCGCGAAGACCCGCCGCGGGCAGCAGGCGGCGACGCCACCGGGCTTCCTTGCTGGGAAACCTGCCGCGCGCGCGATTGCTGGGGAGGGATGATGCGGCGGGCGAGGACGCTGACGACCAGGGGGAGTGCTCGGATGGTGAGTCGGGGGGGTGGGGGGGGTGGGGGGCACCAGGCAATGGGCGGGAAGCAGCGGCGGCTGCAGCGGGCGGCTTTTCTCTGCGTACGATCAAATGTCATTTCCCGCGTCGAACGCTGCTGATATTTTATCTCCATGGCTTGAGGGTTTTTGGTGTGCACGCACGCGCTTGTTGAAGGAACGTCTGAGCCCTTCATATTTTATCTCCATGGCTTGAGGGTTTTTGGTGTGCACGCACGCGCTTGTTGAAGGAACGTCTGAGCCCTTCATATTTTATCTCCATGGCTTGAGGGTTTTTGGTGTGCACGCACGCGCTTGTTGAAGGAACGTCTGAGCCCTTCATATTTTATCTCCATGGCTTGAGGGTTTTTGGTGTGCACGCACGCGCTTGTTGAAGGAACGTCTGAGCCCTTCATATTTTATCTCCATGGCTTGAGGGTTTTTGGTGTGCACGCACGCGCTTGTTGAAGGAACGTCTGAGCCCTTCATATTTTATCTCCATGGCTTGAGGGTTTTTGGTGTGCACGCACGCGCTTGTTGAAGGAACGTCTGAGCCCTTCATATTTTATCTCCATGGCTTGAGGGTTTTTGGTGTGCACGCACGCGCTTGTTGAAGGAACGTCTGAGCCCTTCATATTTTATCTCCATGGCTTGAGGGTTTTTGGTGTGCACGCACGCGCTTGTTGAAGGAACGTCTGTGCCCCTCATGAAAGAGGTATTTCGGTCACGGAAGGGGCACGCCGCCTGTTGGCAGCATGTGAAAAACTGCCGCTTGGTTTGCGGTCTCGGGCCGATAGCGCCAAGATTCTTGGTACACCTGTCGATGTCACCAGATGCTGCGGGAGAGAGTGCATGGCGAACCCGTCCGTTGCTCTTGCAACGAACGAACAGGCGTATGTTCCTGTCGCGTAGGTATTTTAGTGGGTTTTGGGGGGGGGCATCTCGGAGCAGTTTTCGTCTGGTTTAGCCGCTTTGTCGGCGAGCGTGTGCCCAAGGGCTGTTGTGAGAGTCTTGTCGCGTCTCCTTGGTGTACGCCGCCGGAAGCTCGGCACGTGGGAATTTGCCAGGTGTCTTTCAATGCCTCCGGGTGAGAATGCAGTATGTCTCTCCGGCCTGGTATACCCACTCCTTGCCGACATGAGTTCTGAGAACAATCTAGCGCCCTGTCCCCGTTCGCCGCTAGGAAAGGCCTCGTGACGGCGGGACATCTTGTGCGCCGTCTGTATAGAGTTGATCTTATCGCTGCAGTATCCCCCAGTGATTATACTTTGCACGAGCGTACGCAGCCACGATGGTGATGCGATAGTCTTCCCCGAGTCGGTTTTTCGTATATTCCGGATAAGGTCTTCGCATCATGACACTTTGGCGGGACCCAATTTGTCACTTGGTGGTGGCCCGACCGAGATGCGAGGAGGAACGAGCAGTGATCTGATCAACAGCATTCGCACCTTTCGTACGTTGCGTCCCCCAATCGTGCCCCCCGCTGTCCTCCTCGATGCGCAGACGAAGCCATGTGCGGATGCGCCGAGAGGTGTCTCCGGGTGGTGGACTCTTGGTACCACAAGCTCAAGGGGACCACGGCAGAGGTCAAGTTCTCCGAGCTCGACCAGCTTGATCAGGCGGAGTCTGGCAGGATGCCGTAGATTCAGACAATCTCTGGTTGATCACCGGGCACGTGTATAACCGGCGTTCTGTTTCAGGGAAGGGAAGGTGGTGTTGGTCCTGAAGTCGGGCGGATCAATCGGCAGATGCGCGGGGTTGCTGCTTGGAGGATCTTACATGGCACAAGGTGTTCGTGCAGAGTTGGGCTGACACGGGCTCTCGTGGAATAGTTGGGGTTGTAAAGATCGGCAACGAGAAGAACAGTGCTTCGTCTTTTGGTACGACGGAGTTTAATGTACGAGGGCCGTTTTCTGGTCGTTCTTCCTTGTTGTGATTGTAACCCAAGATACATTTGCTTGGTCTTTTTGGTACGGAGTTTTATGTACGGGGGCCGTTTTCTGGTCGTTATCGCTTGTGGTTGTGACCTAAGAGAGGTTTGCCGGGGCTCTACGGCGGTTGGGGAGCCATTTGGAGGGAACTGCAGTAGTGTTGTATGCATAGCTGCGGCGTGTTGCCTTGTTGGAGCCAGTTGGAGGGAAGGGCAAGTATTGTAGGCTGCAGCTTTGAGGATGTTCGCTTGTTGTTTTGTTACTTTTCAGTGAGGTCGTGCGGCTACACATCAAAGTGCACTCCCACAATTCCCTGAGAACGGGATTAACATGTTTTTTGGTGATGGATGTCAGAGGTGTTAAATTTTTCATCGTGCCCTCAGGATTTCGATTAGTGTTGCGTACAATAGCCTTGGCGAACAGACTGCGTACTCTCTCTTGTTGTGCTCCTGTCTGTCTCACCTGTCTTGTTGTCCTTTCCTACCCTCTTCCTCTTCCTCGCTGAAACCGCCAAGACTAATGCTTGTCGAGACTCTCTCTTTGTTCGCTGGTTTGCTTGTACATGTCGCCGATGTTGATGCATACCCCAAAATCGCTCGCTCTTGCCCTCTGGGTCTGGAGAGAAAAATAAAGAAGGGAGCTACCGCTTTGTTTTCCAGGCGTGAATCTTGGTAATCGTGGCCTGTAGAATGGAGGAGCGAGGGGGGGGGGAGGGGGGGATTAGCCCGGAAGCGTTGAGCGTAATTGGATAGTATATAGCATGTTTTTACCCGAGCGTGGTTGGAAGCAGCATGCGCTCGCTCGGGCGTTTGTTCTCTGTAATTTCGTGAGGAGTTTGTAGGCATCCTCCTTTGCTATTGGCTATACGAGAGCTTGTGTTGTTTCCGTTGTTGTTGCCTTAGATGTTTGTTTTGGCGTGTGTAGTAAGATATTTCCGTTAAAACCACCGTATGATATGTCCGATAACACCAGTGGATGTTGATCGAGCGGTGGGATCTCCGCATATATAATTAGTCAGTCCCCACCCAGATCTTTTTGCCGTATGTACGTCAGTTGTTGCAGCCAGTGAGTGTTGGTCGCGGCGGAGACTGCTGTTTTTCTCGTTTGGCCGTCGCCCCCTTGGGGGTGTGATGTGCTCTCCTGTCCATCTGCCGAATATATGTGAGGGCGTGTTGTGTCGCGTGTGATGTGAAGCTGGCAGAATCAGAGTACGAGGATTGCACAAGAGAGTAAATGACAATTCGGTAGCAAGTTTCCTAGAGCTCTTTTTGTTGTCGGGGGTAGAAAGGGGGGCGGGAGGGGGGGGATTGGCTTTGTATGAAAGCATTTGTGGTGTGCATGGAGCTGAAACGATGTGTTATGGCTGCAAAGAGGATGTTAGCTGGGAGCTATGTCGTGGTCGAGTCAAACGCCCTGCACGCTGGGGTACTGGTCGGCGTTTTTTGACCGTCCAAAGCCCCAATGCCTAAGTCTGTATGGGCGAAGTCGCGCGGTTAACGTGTGGCAGATGAAACATGTTTCAACGGCGTTCATCTGTGAACCACCTAGATTCCGTTGTGGTGGCCGTTTCTTTCCAGAATGTCGGATCCACGAGCATACTTGAGAATTCGGCAGTGATCTGAGGTTAAAGTGCCTTCCGAGAAAAACTCAACCTTCGAATAGCAAAGCTCCCGTCCATTTGTTTTTGTCGACCCACACCTAATTCTTCCGCCTAAAAATGCAGGCTTGACAGCGCGCCTTTCTGTCCTGCTGAATGAAGTGTCGTGAAGACAAAAGCGTATGCGTGACTCGCCCAAACCTCTACCTTTCCTGGGAACGCAGACTCGCGTGTAAGACTGTCGTCGCTGCTGTTTTTGAAGCAAGAGACATGAGAGATTCGTACGCGGTCGTCGATGACGAACGCGACGGCATCCGCTATGATTACGACCATACAGCCCCTGGAGAGGGAAAGTGGCTGGGTCCACCATCTTCGTCGTTTCTTTGGCGCTCGCCCGTGTCTCTCCTGCCCTCCTTGACAGCTCTGTTTCGCACCGCCGCCCCCCCCCTTGTGTTTTTTCGTCGGGATGGCTGTTGTAGACTCCGCTGCACTACTACAGTACTGCAGTGTCGAACACTGTGTAACGTAGAAACAAGTTTCGCATACTATGCATAATGCAAACTTTGCCGTCCGGGTCGACAGCAAATTCAGCAACAACAGCCGGATGCAGTTGAGNGGGGGGGGGGGGGGGGGTTCCGTACGACCGCCTGTTGGGGGTCCCTTCCGATCTACGCTTCCTCTCACACCGCTGCACACATTTAGTCGCAACAACAACGGCCACGCAACTCGCGTCCTTGCGTAGCATGCCTCTGAGCCGTTCCTTTGAGGCAAGATTGCGGCGGGGAGGGGAAAAAACGGTGCAAGCCACATGGACGTCGAGATCGATCGGCCAAACGCTCAAGAGCTGCATAGCGAAGCGAATCAGACGCGATGATTGTCGCTCGGAATGGCTCCGATACGACCAAGACGGCAACAGCTGGACCATCCTTCAAGGCGTTGAACGGTACGCGGCGGTGGCCGACAACAGGACGGAGTCAACCACCGCTAGTGCATCCTGTGCACCCTCCTCTCGACAGTCGTCTATTCCTTCTCCGGCATCGACAAGCCTCGTGTCTGCTGCGATATCCTCATATACTCCGCCGACACCTCCGAGAGACGTCGCAGAATTGCGAGAAGTCGGACATCTCCAGACTCGTCTTCGACCAAGGAAGCTCGTCTTTGAGTCGCCGAAGACGACGACATTGGAATGCCTCTCTCGTTACGACTCGTTCCGCGTTCACGAACAGCAACGAACAAAAACAACACCAACACAACAAAAACAACGGAGAGTTGTGTACCCGAGGAGTAGTGCCAGTGCGTGTACATCAAAAAGCATCCGACCCGAACAACGGACGGAAGACAAGAAGGGGTAAAAACCCATGACGAAACACATAACACCGCATGCATACGAGCAACAAGGCAAAAATATCGACGAGTGTCAACCGCCGCCACTCATCAGCCAACCCCTAACAACAACAGAGCAAACATCATACCACTACAGAGTAGCCATACACACGCCCACACGCCCGCACGCAGGCCAGACGAAACGATAACCCAACTATTCACCAAACCACACAAAGAGAACGAAGTCACAGTCTTAAACCGGCCACCCCGTGCGCGACCACCACGTGCCCGTGCTTGCTGACGGCCGCTATCGTGTCCGCCGTTTCGTCGTAGCAGACTCCCACCAGCCCAGACCGAGAGGGCAGCTCGTACAGGTGCCTCGCTCCCCGCAGAGACTCCCAACCGCCGCCCCCCCACTCCCCTCCGTCGACGGCAGCAGGTTCGTGGGCTTGGCCCTCAGGAGGCATGTACCACTTGGTCAGCACCCCGGTCCCCGAGCACGAAAACAGGTGCCGGGGGCTCCGCGGGTGGAACGTCACGCCCCAGGAACCCCCCGCAGCGCTGGTCTCGTCTTGCGCCTGCGAGGTCGTTCATTCGCATGGCACACGTTTCGTTTTTTTCGGAGAGAAAATTCCTTCACAGACTCAACAAGAACGCGATTCGGGGATATACGGGGGGGTCAGATGAGTGCAGCCATCAATTCCAGTGTTCGGAAATCGCATTAGCTGGAACGGTTACCACAAACACACACACGAGCGGTGAAAAAGATCCCGCCACCAAGCCTATTTTTAGGCCATAACACAAGACTGGAACGGGTATCGCCACCGCTATGTCTTTGGGACACGACGGCGCTAACCCTACCCTAGCATCGCATGCCTTCCACCCAAGAGACATCAACAAAACAATAATACCGTAGGTGACACAATATGCTACAGACTATTTTCTGTAGGGTATGGGGACGTCACACAACTCATAGGCGTGTTCTGTAGGGTATCGGAAATACCACAGATCTCACAGAACTATCCGGTAGGGTATCGGACGTGCCACAGAACTCGTCAGTAACGGTCTGTAGGGTAAATACCCCCCAAAAAACCGCCGGTACACTTCTGTGGCTACCCTACAGAAGACACCCGTGCAATCTTTGAAGACACCACCACCCCCCGGGACCGATTTTTCAAAACTCGACTAAACTCCACGAAGAAGAGCATTGTGCAAAACTCAACCGGTGCCCTTTTTCGGCAACATCTGGACGAGACGGTTTTCAACGCTGACATTTTCGGCACCGCCACTCTCCCCTTCTGGTGAGGAGGAGTAATCATCGAGCTNGGGGGGGGGGGGGGGGGGGGGGGGGGGGGGGGGGGGGGGGGGGGGGGGGGGGGGGGGGGGTGATATCTTGCGAAATGTACGGCACATGCCACTGAAAAGGGGCCCGAGGACCTTGCCCCCCCGCTTATGTACCTACAAACGTTTTCGATTGCGCCGAGTCGTCATCGCGACGGCCTCTTACGCGTACCTGGAGCTCGTGCAGCGGGACCCCCGTTCGCACGTCCCAGACAATCACCTCCCCGGTGCTTACACCGCACGCGAACACCTACATGAAACCATGTCGTTTCGCCAGGAGGAGAAGGCCGGGATGGGGACAAGAGAGGACAGTCGGTTATACACTAAACACGGTTCAAGGGGATCAAAATAAATTTCCGAGTTGTCAACCATCGCATTTGCTCCTGTTGCTCTGCTACTGTCGAAAGAAAATTCCGCTGTTGCTACTGCTGTAATACGAGAAAAGCAGAGCACGGCAGAGCGTCCCAGTCCTGTCTGCAGGTTGGCATGCAAGAGGGGACCAGCTACCGAGGGGCGCGGCGTCAACGCTGGCGGACTTTTTCGCGCCACCCCATCACAACGAGAGCCGGCATAAACCAACATTATGGCCGGAAACACAGCAAGTTCACACGGGCTGACTGACCACACTCGAACTAGGCAATCGCGCGTCAGCGCCATCACCTGCATTAACGTTGTGTGCCGGAATTTCGTTGACACAAAATGCTTCAGGAACTCCATCCGCACGCGGTTCCGGAAAAAAAAGTGGAAAAATAATGCACCAAACAAATCCTCACGTGTGGACACTTCATACATATTACCGCACCAATAGCCCGTACCTCCGGTGCGAAGGGCTGGCTAGCCACGCACAGGTAGGGAGCTTCACTGCCGCGGATGCAGCCGAGAGCACCTCTAACCACCGGCCGGGAGCCGTCCGTGCGTGCATCCCAAACCAGCAGTTGTCCCCTGGGATTGCAGCCCACCGTGGCAAACACCTTAGTTGCAGCCGCAGCAGCAGCAACCACAGCAAAAACCGCACAGAACAAAAGGATGCACCGACCGAAGGAGACATGAGGGAGAGACAAGCCAGACGAATGGCATCACACGGTTTCGATGTTTTGTTTTTCATGTTGGCTCCTTGCTAGACCGATGTGTTTCAGGTTTCAGCGGACGGAACGGGGCGTTTATTCCCCGGAACTAGATGCGTCCGTATTGTTTCGCGCAAAAACTGCTGCGGCGCCTCCTGCGTCGCTGCTCCCCACCCCCGAAATAAAAAAAAAAAACTTCGAAAGGTGTGGGTCGTTAATGTCTAAATGGTCTCACGGCGTGCAACCAGCAAGCTCACACACCCCGCCGCCGCGGACATGCCGCTTGCCACAACCACAAACCAATATCGCTAGGGCAACCGTAGCAGTAAAGCAGACGATCAGGAACCGAAACCGGAACAAGATCAACAAAGCTCACGGCTTACAAAAGACCTCTCAACACATCGGCACAAGCAACGCAGTCTTCCTATGGTTCTTTGCATATCTTCCAGGAACAAATGCGCACGTAGATTGTCTTCAGGAGGGGCACACCACACAAGACCCACACCACACCTCCTCGCTCTCCCCCTGGAACGTCACCCCGGACAGCGGCATTGCCCCCTTGGTCCTCCCCGTCCAGACCAGCCCCCCCCCAACACCACCGCCAGCACTACCCCCATGATCATCAGCCAGGCGCTGCAGATCGACCACACTCGCGACCCCGTCCTCGCCCACGGTCACCGCCCGCCGCCGCGTCGCCGCCACCCCTGTGGCCCGGTCGCTGTGCGTCGGCACCTGCCCTACAAGGCCTAGGGACGGGCCGTCCCCTGGGGAACCGTCTTCGTCTTCGTCAAAGTCGTCGCCGGGTGTGAGCTCAAACAGGCGGAGGCACCTGCGATGGGAC